CCTGACGTCCCAGAGTCAAAATATGATAGCTCATTTTTAAAATAAATGTTGATGCTCACATACACATTTTTATAATCTGTAACTTTCTTTTCAACCTTACAGGTGTATAAATATAAGGATAAATCTATAAACACGGTGGATACGATCAAGGAAAAATTTCTAATCAAGCTCATAAAAGTGGGTAACACTAAAATACGCCTGTCGACGCCTGCCTGGGGAAAATACGCCTGCCGGGAAAATGTATACGCCTGCCGTGTTATTAATGGAATTAATTTGGTTTTTGTTAGATATATTACTTTTTTAGACCCTGTAGTTAATGTATTAGGAAATAACAATAATGTTAAAAAGCACAGAATGGGGGTTTTAATCGTTTTAAAGTTTGCATACGGCGTGGAGCATGCCTGACGAAAAATCTAACGCCTGCGGCATTGTTTCTCTAATTTCTCATTACAATATTTGAAATGTTACTTTGCAAAAGTATTTGGTTAATATTTGACAACAAATTAATCAAAAAAAAAATTGAATATATATTTTATTCATTTAGTGTTTGATACAAGAGTATATAGTATTAAAGGAGATAAATCTTACTCAGGAACTGCTGTGTGAAGACCATGGACATCATGTTTTTTCTTTCTTTCTTTGTTTAAGTAATATATTATTGGTTTCGTGTTTATCTATAGAATTTACAATGACTCAGGAGCACATATGCAGTAAAAACTTTGCGATTTACGGGTTACCGTAGTTGTTTTGAATCAGAATCTGAAATATTTAATGTTAAACTTTTTAAACATCAATGAAATAAATATTATTTCTGATTTTCAGGTTATATTAACTTATTATATGCAACAAAGTTATAAAAATAAATACAAAATTTTACAGGTAAGAGAAATGGTATTATTTAAACTATTCCTACACATCCATGTATACATCAAGCAGAGAAGGAAATAAACGAAATGAGTACTAAGAAAATCAGCATGTAAATGACATGTGTACAAAATATCGTTTATACCTGTATGTTCAAAATCATTCCTTTTCATTCATTTAGAGAAAAGGAAGATAAGGTAAATCAAATTCTAAAGAAAAAACAAATAAGACATGCAGGCACTTGATGTTCCACAAAAACAAAAACAAAAACAAACAAACTTGGAAACCCATACCTAGTAATTCGGTATGGGGTTCTATTTTATCATTATTTCAGATATAACGTCAAAGAATAGTCTGTAGAGTAAAATTTACTGAAAGCATGATGTGTTTATACCATGTATGCAACATGTATAAGCGATCTGGGCTGTCATGGAAATAAACAAAACTTTTAATAAGTTAAAGTTCAATTCTTTAAGTACTCACCTCATTTTATCTGGATGAATAAAGTTTCGTAGACTAGTGTGTTTGGTACAATCGTTTGTTAATTTTTTTTTCTAAAATTATTAAACTATTTCAAACTATCAACGATGTATGATAAATTGAAAGAAAGTTCAAAATGGTTTACTGGAATATTTGTAGGATTAAGTACATAGTTCTGGGTTAAGAGAATTTACGATTTCATTTAACGTAATATTAAAATCAGTAACGTCGTGATGACGTCGTTACGTCAAAAGTTGTAATTATTAAAGAAAATGCACCATTTTCCCAAACCTCTGGCGGAAAAACGGTAAGAGATAATTCCAAAAAATAATATGATTTTGAAAGGACACATCGTGGGCATGTTCGTAAAAAACTTCAATCGGATTTAGAGACAGGGCCGCCTCGTTATTCATACCGTACCCAGTTCTTTTCAAAATATAAAACATTAGTTTTTTTTTTTTAATCTTAATTAACATTTCAAAGTTTCACAATATCTTAGTCTAGGCAAGAACTCGATGATTTAAAGACCCAAATTTTTTACCGTACGGTTACCTGAGGAGGGGGAGTGGTCAAAATAACAGTGGTGTTATTTACCTGGAGACCCCAAATACCCAAGATGTCAAAAATCTGTGTATATGTAGCATTACACAGGAAGTCTGTGTTTGGTAATCAGGGTCAACATTACGTGTTTTGTGTCTGGTTTTGAGTGAAACTACGTGAAATAATTATTTTAATATGGAATTTATTTGTAAATTAAACGCTTTCATCGTAATCATGGTAATGTTTTTAATTAAAAAAATGATAAGATTCATGTATATTATTTTAGAAAATGTTTTCCTTACATAAAAGAAAAATTCACGAGTAAAAACTACAAATCAATAATATTTAACGTTTTTTAATCTTCAATAAAAGAAATCACTTGATTAAAAAAGTCTGACAATGGAAATAAAAAAATTTATTGATCCACCTTATGATTCGTCGAGCATGTGAACATGCATTTACCGCGATCGGAATTTTTTTATGGCCAACAATGTTGTCCAAAATATTCCATATTTTTTATTCTTCGTGTGTTAACAAAATGTTACGGTTAAAAAGACTTCTTTTCAGAATCGATCACTATTAATTATCTTCACATTTTCATTACGCATATATACAGACGCTAGAGGAAATTCGAGTATTAATTCTGACATCAATTTCTGTGCAACATTGTGCGGATTGTAGCCATAGTACAAAATAAAACATCTTTTAAAAACTATGCTATGCCGTTTATTTGTGATGAATATTTTTCTTATATCCCATTTCTTAAAAAATAATCTAATTCGTCGGACTTCTAATTACGGCAATTAGAGCCGGTTTCTGTGGACGCGGTCTTTTTTTCTACAGATAAACGTGGACAATATAAAACTTACAAGTGACAAATAGCAATGAAGATAGAAAAGAAATATTTTATTATGTCAATGTTTTAATAATCTACTTTCAATAATTTTTTGAAATAAAATTCAAACATATTGGAGTTTTCTAATCCGCGTGTATACTATGCGGGTACATGAAAGCGTTTGACGCGTGACCAGGTAATCGTTTTCAAAACATGCAAACTCAGATTATCAGGAGGCACAGGTAGCTGAGCTGTCAATCAAATCAGAAGCTATTGTTTTTTTTAATGATTGACAGGCGGTAAATTATTGATCTTGAATCAGGTAGATTTTGGGGGCGTTAACATAAAATTGGGTGTTTAAGAAAAGTGATGAAAGTAATCTATTTTATTTATTTATTTCAGTTAGAGAGAAAATAATCCATCGAAAGTTCCAAATATTCTCGCTATATACGGTATATTATTGTTCTATCAAAATTCATTATTGTTAAAATTTGTTTACAATGATATGAATGTCTGAATTCATGTTTACTGTGTATACACGGACTTCAAATCTCAATGAAACTTAATGATCGATCTTCCTGTATACCCTACCTGTGCGTAATATTATGTAGTATTACATAATTAGGTACACGACAAGTGAGAAGATTGGCACGTGTGCTATACACACTCCAAGGTGGGATATCATGAACCAGAGCCACAAAATCAGAATTAGTAAATATTTACATATCTGATTAAATAAATGAATTTTAAGAAAATATGGATGAAAGAAATTCCGAATTTAATACAAATGCATGTTTATCAAACTATTGAAAAGATCGTCAATTTACATGTATACAACATACCACACAAACTATTTACGCTCCAGAGCTGCAAATATTTTTTTTTCAGTTCTTCCTCCTCAGATAAGTATTGTAGAAATTGTTAAAATGGTTATTTTTGTAGAAATCGATATAATGGTTGCACAATCTGTATATCATGAATCAATTTACATGATCTTCATGGATGGTTTCCGTGGTTATTTCTTTAATCTTGTCTAAGATTCGGGTCTTGGACATATCTAGTTTTAAAATTCATAAAAACATTTCTTTTTTTAATTAATTTGTTTTACATACATCAGCTTCAATGTTTATAAAAGTAAGTATTTACGTCTTCTTAGACGAACAGAAAATATAAGGAATATAAAATATTGTAAGGTTGGAGATATCTCCTTTAACATGTGTTTAATATTACTGCAAATCTCGTGTGTAGATTTTTATAAATAATTATCAAACATTTTTTCTTTTTTTGATTTGTTTATGATTAATTTAATGACAACCAATAATTTATTAAAGTCATATATTTTTTTTAAAATAGTACATACCGGTAATAAAAGAAACAACACCGCGGGCGTGTAGATTTTCTCGGCAGGCGTGCTCTAAGACGGAAGCAAATTATAAAACGAATAAAGCATCGGACATGTGCTTCTTAAATTATTTTTGTTTGGTAAAACATTAAGTAAATAGTCTATTAAATTAATATATGTAATAAAATTAACTTTAGTCAATAAATAACAAGGCAGGCATATAGATTTTCTCGGCAGGCGTATTTTCCCCTGGCAGGCGTCGGCAGGCGTATTTTAGACCGCATAAAAGTTATCAGATGTTATTGACACCTAGGGGACACAATTTAAGTTTAAAGTACCAAATGCACGTATATTTAATTGACCTTGAAATACTTCGTACGTACTGAATGACCCCCCCCCCCTTTCCAATTTAATAACATCATTTTTTTCACACAAATTTTGACTGGGGGCGCTTTGACCAAAAACAGGGGGCGGTTTAGAAACTATGTTTTTCTATCAAAATATGTAAGGGGGCGCTTTGACCAAAATCAGGGGGCGCTTTGACCAAAAACAGGGGGGGGGGGGGTTAGAAACTACGTTTTTCTATCAAAATATGTCAGGGGGCGCTTTGACCAAAATCAGGGGGCGCAATGACCAAAATCAGGGGGCGCATTGACCAAAATCAGGGGGCGGTTTAGAAACTACGTTTTCCTATCAAAATATGTCAGGGGACGGTTTGACCAAAATTAGGGGACAGTTTGACCAAAATCAGGGGACGCTTTGACCAAAATCAGGGGGCGATTTCGTAGTATCATATTTCTATAAAATATGTCAGGGGGCGCTTTGACCAAAATCTGGGGACATTTTGACCAAAATCATGGTACGCTTTGACCAAAATCTGGGAACGCTTTGACCGGGGCGGTTTTCATTGGGAACGGTTTGACTGGATTTCGTCTTTTCCGTATATTAGTAATTACAAGGAACAAGAAGAAGATGGTAAAATTACTAAAATACATAATCATCATCATGTAGATCATAAACAATCAAATTGTGCTTAAACTGAATTATTATGGACAACATGGAAGACAGTGGATTTGACAGTGATCACAAATCGAATCAAACAGATGCACCTGACGTGAGTTTATAATTTTGACATCTGACTATTTTCACATATGTTCATCTGTTCATGAACTTAATGAAAATGTTTTACTATCTTTGTTTTTGAATGCAGATTTAAGTTTTCCCCTGCTCTCATTGTTGGATAAGTAAAACCTTAATTAATTGATAAAACTTAACCTTGAATTTTTTATGTTTTAGCAGTGGTGCATCAATTAACCCAAATGTGGACCCCTAATACACATTTATTGATAGCTTGTAGCCCTCTCCAAATTTTTAATCTGATATTTTTCTGGAGAGGACTACAATATCCATACCGTCTTCACAATGGTGCAAAAATAATTTACTTTTACATTCACCTTCTGAAAAGTTGAAATTTTTATTCACTAGCTAGCTCTGTCAACCACATAGTCCGTTAAAGTGAAAACCTTATAAGATAAACCTGCGTGTGTACCATTCGCTATCCTCAGAAGCCATGAAAGTTCCCGCACTTGCACCATTACAGAGATCCTAAGGTGTTGTAGCCCTCCCCATCCTAGTTTGGTTCAAGAGTCTACAAAACACAATTTGCCCGAGACACACAGTCAATAAATATTAACCTTTTATTTTAATGTTCTTTTGTCATACATATATTTTGTACTGCCTTCCATGGTGTAAACCTCATGTCTGTCACTGTTAAACACCAACAGATGCAAATGAGATTAAGCTCTCTCCATTATGTTATGTAAGCTGTCCAAAATCTCATCGATCAGTCCAACATCTCACTCAGCAGTCAAACATCGATTCTTTATGCCCAGTTGCCCACTCAGCAAAACATTAGAAATGTTAAACTTTTTTAGATTTAAATAGGAACAAATTTGAAAGGTATAACAAACAACAGGGTATATTTGTTACCAATCTTACAGAGTCCCTTGAATGGCACAGCAAATGGACTTGGTACACCAAAGAAAAATTCAAGCACATACAAGAAATCTTTTGACTTACAAAGAAAAATAGGTAAATATTTAATTAAGAAGCTTATAAATGAATGGGATGAGCTGTATAGGGGCTCTCAAGACAGTAGGGCTGGGACGATACTTGAATGGCACAGCAAATGGACTTGGTACACCAAAGAAAAATTCAAGCACATACAAGAAATCTTTTGACTTACAAAGAAAAATAGGTAAGTATTTAATTATGAAGCTTATAAATGAATGGGATGAGCTGTATAGGGGCTCTCAAGACAGCTACATTTGGGTACTAAAATTCATTAAAATAAAAAAAATGTGCACAAAATGATTTAAAAGAAGTTAGTTAGTATTCAAATCTAACTAGTACAAACTATCAATAATTCCATAAAAAAGAAAAAAATAATGAAATACCCATCATATTGAATTTATTTTTTATAAGTTTACAATATCCACAATGTTAATCATTTATGGAATGCAGATGATACTGAATTAAGGAATACTATATATTTGAATCTCTTTTATAAAGTTTGGTTTAGTGAACATAATGAAAAGCATGCATTTTTTAGTGGTTACAATGAAAATAATCCATGTTGTTACTTATTGATTTGGATTCAATTTAAGATAAACACAAAGAAAAAGCTGCCAAACGAGCTGTAACAGTCCAACCACAGAGATTAATACTGTCCAGAAATAGGTAGGTCACTTGACTAACATTTTTGTTTGGATAAAATTTTGTTGATTTGTGATCAAAACTCAGTACACTGGCAATTGAATTTTATTATGCCCCTCTTTTAAGAATGAAGGGCATATTGCATTGCTGGTGTCTGTTGGTCGGTCCACCAAGTTTCCGTTCATTTTCTTCCCAGTGGTTGCATAATGCATATACTGAAATGAAATTTGGTATACAGATTTTTAATAAGAATATCTAGGTTAAGTTTTTTGGGGGGTAAGATCAAGCCATTTTTGACAGAGTTATGCCCCTTGGACTTAGAAAAATTCCAACTATTTGCAGTTTCAATTCATTTTTTCACAGAGGTTACACCTACTGAAATTAAATTTAGTATGTATACAGATTTTTCATAAGAATATCTAGGTCAAGTTCTGTTTTCACTACAATCAAGCAAGTTTTGACAGAGTTATGCCTTTGGACTTAGAAAAATTCCAATTATTTGGGGGAAGACAAAGGTATTTTACAAACATCTCTCATTGTTTTAAAAGTAAGCATGTTCAATATACATGTATAACCATATCAAAAATTTAAATTCTGTTTGGGATTTAATTTTGTTGATACATGTAATTGATAACAGTGAAATATAAAAAAAAAAATAATCCCCAACAAATATTTCAGTTTTTACAGTATATGTTTTTGAGCAGATGATGTTTCACTGTCAATATATTTATTAACAGATTAGCTGTTCCTCAGAAAAATGACATAAAACCAATGAATGAAGATAATCAGCCTCTTGTAGCAATCATGACAGATGACAGGTATGTACTGTACTGTTTTAAATTTTTTTTTTTTTTTAAATAATGAAGTTGGAAGAAAATAGTTTGCTAATTGCAAAGTAGGAATTACACAGCTCTGCTTTTAAGCTACTTCACCTTCTCCATCCAAGGTTTTACGTTACATGTCTTATATTACACATCAGCTGATAGACTGTCTTGTAAACAGAAAAATAATCAGCTTCACTGTTGAGAGAATTTGCGTTTCTAACATTGTTGAAAATTGAAATAATTTTCTTATGTATCTGTATAATATATGTAACATTTAGAATTATCCCCAAGTATTCTATAAATAGAGAACAAATTAATATTTTTTCAGTGATGATGACTTTGAATTACCTGTGATATCCAAAGCTGCTCAAAAGGAGATAACCCAGCAATTAATCAAGGATGGCTATAACCTTGACCTTGAACCAGATGATGAAGACCTTGACCTCATTCCGCCAAGGCCAGTCAGTGAACGATGTACTTGTTGTAATTACTATACAGGGTATTGTGCTATCCAATAATGCCATATGGTGCTGTAGGAAAAAGATGGAACTGTACTGAATGCTATGTGTAAGATAAGCTGTGAGTTGATTTAGGCACTACAGATGATGGTATAAATGTACATCTTGCATCATTTTCTTAAGAATTATCACAAACATTTTTCTTTCATTTTAATTAATATACATATATAAGAGATTAATTGTAGGTAAAATTATTTTATTAAAGTTTTAAAAATCAATTTAAATTTTTTGATAATACTGAACTACTAGAAATATATTGAATCAAACTGAAATCAAAACCTTGAATCTAAATTTCTTTTTAATTTAGGCTTAACAAAGATTTTTAGGTCCCTGTTATGGAATTGCAATCTTTATTAGACAAATCATAATTATGCATATTCTAAAATAGGTATGTTAAATCATATGGTACTTTAAATAAATTCAATCTACCTATTTAATCTTATGCATGTCACACATTGCCTTAAAACAACTTTTTGAAATAATCATTTATGCACTACTATTGTCTGTTTTTAAACTAGAACTCAGTAGGTATTTATGAAGAGAATAATTTTGCATTTTTTCTAAAAGCTGTAGATCTTTTCATAAAAACATCTTATGGTTAGTTTAATTCATATTACACTTAATTTACTATGCATCAAATGGCTTTGCATTACCTTCAATGAATGCTAAGCAAGGCTAATGGAAATTCAGTTTTGACTGATATGTTAGCAAAATTAGGCTACATGCAAAATTTTGGTGGTCAGTTAGCACTAATGATATTTTTTATCAACAAAGAAAATCCCCCCCCCCCCAAATGTATACAGACACTATAACATTTTGTCAATTGTATACCTGCAATCTGCTTTATCTATTTTAAATTAAATATTATATTAAATAGTTTACCTATCGTCCTTATTAAGGACAAAAATTTAATTCAAATTAGTTAATTTGTATCAATTTTTTTTTGAATGCAGTATAATTTGCATAATTTTTACTTAATATTAATTTGATAAGAAATAAATTTTTCATGCACATTCATGTGAACATGACAAAAGGAATCAAAATTGTGTGAATGGACTGTGATCTGATGATTACAAAGAAATATTTATTTTGTTAAGTTTTACAAATGAATTCCTTTTATCCTGAAACAAGCATTCCTATTTGTATTGTTTTCGTTAATTATTTATTATCTTTATTTAAGTAAAAAAAGAATCCAGAAGGATGATTCCAACATCTATCTCTGATATTTTATTAATATCATTATGTATTATCAGTTATGTGTGTGTGTTTTTAAATTTTTGGAGAGTTTGTTATTTGTATAAAGAAGGAGGAAGAATTCATGTTATGGCCCCGAGGTTAAAAAACTTTTAGTCATTGTCAGATCTGCTCAGAGATGTTTTTTTCTTTTTGATGAATATGTAATTGTTACAATTTTTTTGTTACAGAAATATTTGTATGCATAATTAAATAGACACAAGTTATCCATTTATCCATGAGTCTAAATACTGTATACAGGTAAATTTTGGCCCCCTTTTATTTTTGCCTCTTTCTCCCTGCTCTCATTTGGGCGAATTTTAAATGGGGCGAATTCAAAGTATATAGTATAATTTCTTAAATAAATCTATGACTTGGCAAATTTAAAACCAGGCAAAATTGTCTGCAAGTGTGAAAGGGCTAAAATAATACGGGGCAAAAATTCCCCTGTATTATTGCAGTATCTGAAAATTCATAACAAGTCCCATAACTCAGAAATCCAGTTAAACATATCTGTTGATATGATTTATTATATGATATTATACACTAAACTATACATAAATATTTTGCAATTTAATTACCAGTAGCAATTTTTTACGCAGGGTATATTTTTTTGGTATGCTCTGGCTTTGTTGTTATCTTTTTGCAATACCAATTTTATATTGATCCATGCATTCCTTTCCTAGATCTGTTTCTTTTCTTTTTGTTTTTCAAGTCATGCAGAGTTTTGTACATTAAAAATTGTGACATTTTTTAATTTTTAGCTCTACTGGTCAGAGACCAGAAGAGCTTATAAAATTGTGTCCGTCCGTCTGTCTGTCTGTCTGTCTGTAAACAATTTTTCAAAATGCTACTCCTCCTACAGTTTTTATAATATAACTTGGCACACAAGTAGACTACACTAAAAACATAATTCTGTGCATCGGTTTTTGATTTCAATGAACGGTGTTGCCGTGGTTACTAAAAATAGAAATTTCTGTGAAATTCTTTCAAAATGCTACTTTACAGTTTTGTCTGATTTCAATATAACTTGGCACACAAGTCACTACACTAAGATACATAATTCTGTGCATCGGTTTTTGATTTCGAAACGGTGTTGCCGTGGTTACTAAAAATAGAAATTTCTGTGAAATTCTCATGCTACTCTTCCTACAGTTTTGGTCAGATTTCAATATAACTTGGCACACAAGTCGACTACACTAAGATACATAGTTCTTTGCATCGGTTTTTGATTTCGATGAACGGTGTTGCCGTGGTTACTAAAAATAGAAGTTTCTGTGAAATTTTTTCGAAATGCTACTCTTCCTACAGTTTTGGTCCGATTTCAATATAACTTGGCACACAAGTAGACTACACTAAGATACATAATTCTGAGCATTGGTTTTTGATTTCGATAAACAGTGTTGCCGTGGTTACTAAAAATAGAAATTTCTGTGAAATTCTTTCAAAATGCTACTCCTCCTAACATTGTATTTCAATATAACTTGGCACACAAGTAGACTACACTAAGATACATAAGTCTGTGCATCAGTTTTTGATTTTGATGAACGGTGTTGCCGTGGTTACTAAAAATAGGAAATTATTTGAAATTCTTTCAAAATGCTACTCCTCCTACAGTGTTGGTACACAAGTAGACTGCGTGATTCTGTGCATCGGTTTTTGATTTCGATGAATGGTGTTGCCTTGGTTACTAAAAATAGAAATTTCTGTGAAATTCCTTTCGAAATGCTACTCCTCCTACAGTTTTAATTCGATTTCAATATAACTTGGCACTCTAGTTGACTACACTAAGATACATAATTCTGTGCATCAATTTTTGATTTCAATGAACAGTGTTGCCATGGTAACTAAAAATAGAAGTTTCTGTGAAATTCTTTTTAAAATGTTTCCCCTTTAGTTTTGGTCCGATTACAATATAATTTGGCACACAAGTAGACTATACTAAGATACATTATTCTGTGCATAATGAAAGGATCATTTTTGTTGCTGTTTGAAAGTTTCAAGTCCCAACTGCCACTTTTCTCTTCCTTTGTTTAAAGTATAAACCAGTAGAGCTACAGTCTCGACAGAGACTTCTGGTTATATCTGTAATAGATTAAGATACATGTATGTTTAAATTAACACTTTTGTGTAATGCAGTCATATGAATATCAGATAAACTTTAGATTACTCATTCAATTTATTTCACGTGGCTTTATTTTTGCAAGGTTTTTTCATTGCTTTCATTCTAAATTTGTTTCATTATTAACTTAAGAAATAATGAAGTTAATTTTTGCAATTATGTGACAAAATTTAAATTTGGAAATGTCTTCCCATATGTAACCATATTTAACATGTATAATGCAAGGTGCAATTTGTGGCATCACCACAAATTCAGTGGTCAAGCTTGTTTCACATGTGTTCAACTAATATTCAAATGAGTTCTGGATAATAAAATATGTGTATGAGTAAAAGATTATAACAATGTATAAATCAACATTCAATGTAACTTAACATTTACATAACTACTGAAGGTTGCATTTTAAAGCATTTGGATAAGGAAAGATTGTTGATAATGAAATTCATACATTTACACAGCTTTAATTTATCATGAAAACAAAGAGCACAGGTTCTTGTACCATTTTATAGAACCTGTTGTAATAATTTCTTATAAATGTACTCTTTGTTAAAAATATGAATTATCCCCCTTGTCCTTCAGAGATAAAAGTGTCATTTACAATGAAGCGTGTTGAAGTGGTAAAATATTTTGTTTCCTATCGGATGTCTATTATTACTTCATGACAAGCCCATTTCTTTAGAAACGTGAAAGAAATGTTTGTTATAATTCTTAAGGACACCCCCAATTTTTGTGACTAGCAACATGAATTGCACTAAAATGGAGCTTTAAAAAAGTCAGAAGAGAGAGTTGGAGAGTCTTCGCTTCTGTAAAACACAAATTGCAAGAAATACCTGTATGCACATGTACATATTTTTGAATTACCGTAATAATGTATATTGGAGTTAGCACAATACATGTTTTGGTCGAACACATGTTTATTCGGTGTTTATTTAGACTGTCAATTTGATTGGCTATTATATTTATGGAAAAGGAATAAACAGTTTGACTGTTTTATCCATTTCATCATATGACAATCAATGTTCTAAAGATAGGTCAAAACGTTCCATTTGAACAGAAAATTTTACCACTTCAATGCACTTTATTGTACCTGTGTGGAAAGTTTTAAGTATACATATTTGAAAGAAGATGTCTCTCAAAGGCATCATCTTTTTGATAAAAGATATGGATAGTGTATTAAGTGATCATTTTCAGTGATATATTGTCATGAAATTTTAAATATTTCTAAATACATGTAATTTAAAGCTAATTTGTGTCTATGTACCTGATCTGTGTTGCATATATAGACATTAATTGATGAAACAACTTCCTTTGAATGTTGTCTTTAAATACTTTTTTTAATTTTAAAGCTTAAAAATGTGAAATCATTGGAAAAATACTGCCAACCAAATTTAAAAAAGATTTTTTTTTTTCAAGAGCTTGTTTTTTGGTGATGGGAATGAGTGAATGATCATATAATCATCCTATGTATTTTTTGTTTCTGAATATTTTAATAAAAATGTCATTAATACGATTTAATGTTGCAAGTTGAAGTTTAAAATCAATTACTCTTGTAACAAAGCAGCCTTTGATAATGATGATTCTAGTCTGATATTTATCAGATACATTTATAAGGAATCATCCTTCGGTGGTGTATATTAAAGTTTTGTTTGTTTTTTTTTGAAAACACAACCCTTGATAAAGATTACCATTGGGATTATAGAAGAAATACTCAAACACATGATAAGGTACCTCGATCATTTTGGAGGAAAATTTTTACTAGTATATTGTACATGTGTGAACATGTGGTCTGACCTTAACATAGGAATATCCTATTAGAAGTCTTTTTTAAAAAAATCACAGGAATGGCAAGTCTAGATCAGTAATACATGTGTATATTCAAGTAGTTCAGATTTAGATTTATTCTAATCATGACCCCCCCCCCCCCCTTTCCCGGAAGTAGGTTGATCCACGTTGGATAATTAACATTTTTCATAGAAATACTTAGAAAAATCTTCACTCCAGGAAGTTTAGATTGAAGTTCCGTCTTATCATACACCTAGGGTGGGTTGGTGCCATAAAAGGTCATAGTTTTATATAGGAAAATGTAGGTGTAAGGAGAAAAGAGAAGAATTCGATGGACCAAACCGGAATTTGAGCCCAGGCTCCCCGAATCTCCAGTCAGGTGCTCTTCAAACTTAGTTATCTGGTCGCTGGCGATAGAACCTATCTGACCACCTAATTCATATCTCTTAAAGGTCTTTGCCTTGAAGATCTATATGAATCCAAGCTCTTCCCTGGCAGGTCTTTCAATAGTCATGTCCTGGTAACGGCACCAAATTATGTAACAGGAAAAGATAAAATGTATGACTACACCAGGAATCGAACGTGAGACATTTGCATCACTAGTCAGATGGTCTTCCTTTTGAGCTAGAATATAGCTAGAGCAATATCCACGGCCAAAACTATTGGGAGAGGGAAAGAAATCCATGATGAGAAACGTTACTTAGGTGAACTCTGTAGCCTATAGGCCTTTAAGATTTTGGAATTTGTCATTTTTTCCCAATCCTCCATGATGTATATGTAAAGTTAGAGGTTTTTACTTCAAAGAAACCCAAATAAATGCATAATATGTTTACAAATACTAAATAAGGCGCTGATTATGTGAAAGCCTCCTGAGGAAGTGTAAATTTTAAGATATGACCACAGTAAAAAAAAACAACAGTTTTACATGGAAATACAGTCACACCGTTTTATCTCGAACTTAATGGGCCATTAAAAACAGAGATATCCAAAGATTCAATATATCTAGGGTAAAATATTTAAAGGTGATTTCCAAATCGATCCCCATATCCTTAGCATTCGATATATCGGTGTTTGAGATACAGAAGTTCAACTTTATATAAGGAAAGCTTATAAAAATTTTTTTTTTCAATAACCACTGGATTAAAGATGATGAAATTGGTTAACTTTGTAAATGAATAGTTTAAAAAAAAAAGGAGAGAGAATTCATGTGTGTATCTATTCCTGACTGATTTTTATGTTGTTCTCGACCAGAGAAACTCCCATTTATTTATTATTCTCCAGTAAGACAAACCAAGCCCTCGGTTTTTGATAAGCAGGATCTAATATTCCTTAATAGATATCATAATGAAAATTGGTTTCCAGCACATAAAATCAGCTATTGCTCTTACCGACTTCAGTTTATTCTTTGTCTATAAGCACAAGTCAACTATTTTGGTCAAAATATGGAAAATAATCAAACCTGGCTTTTGTCACGTCCTTTTTATTTTGAAGAGAGAATTGTATCAGTAAACATTTTGATGAAAACAATTCAAATATGTCAGTAAGGTACAAAATACCAAAAATAAGCGATAAATATTGTGCAGATAATGGAACTTGGAGTATTTATGACAAGAAAATTGATGTTTGACGACCATGAATTATTCATTATCTTCAATTCCTAGACAATGAGGAGAGGTATATTATACCGGTACTTTATATGGCTGTCACTATGCAGTTGTTAATACGCGTTCCATGTACGATTTTGATATTTTTCAGATCGGAGACTTTCGAGTTGTAAAATAGTACAAAACACCCCACATCACGATTAATGAGGATGCCCCTTTTGTAACCAAATTTAAAATCAAATATGTTTTAGTAAGCTCACATGGATGAAAAAGCAAGGATACTTTAGTTACTTAGACGTAGCAAGACCTAGTGGGTAGTTTTGGGGTTTAAAGGCAGAGATTTTTTACCGGGTGGTAAATTCCAGGTGAGGGAGGGGCTTATTATGCACAGGTGTGAAAGCCTTGGGGGCTAGCAGTCTACCTGTGGACATCTGTCTCCTAATCCCTATACACAGGAAGCGATTTAATACACAGCGAAAACCCCCTACCCATTAAAAAAATTATTATTTTATCACACTATGAATTCAAATATTAAAACAACAAGCAGGTCTTTCAATAGTCATGTCCTGGTAACGGCACCAAATTATGTAACAGGAAAAGATAAAATGTATGACTACACCAGGAATCGAACGTGAGACATTTGCATCACTAGTCAGATGGTCTTCCTTTTGAGCTAGAATATAGCTAGAGCAATATCCACGGCCAAAACTATTGGGAGAGGGAAAGAAATCCATGATGAGAAACGTTACTTAGGTGAACTCTGTAGCCTATAGGCCTTTAAGATTTTGGAATTTGTCATTTTTTTCCCCCAATCCTCCATGATGTATATGTAAAGTTAGAGGTTTTTACTTCAAAGAAACCCAAATAAATGCATAATATGTTTACAAATACTAAATAAGGCGCTGATTATGTGAAAGCCTTATTTATGCTAGCAGTCTACCTGTGGACATCTGTCTCCTAATCCCTATACACAGGAAGCGATTTAATACACAGCGAAATATGGCATAAGAGATTAAACGACTTATCTATTGTTTCAATGCTTGATTTATCAAAGAAAAACTGTCAGATTGTAAAGATTTATTTCATTACTGATGGCTTAATTCCATGGAATTAATCAATAAATTTTAGTATACCTCAGCACAAGCTTTTGTAAAAATATGACTCATTTGGATGTGTTTTTGTTAATTGATGCTTAGAAGACCAATGATGGACCTTCATGCACTTGATTGACAGGGGGTAGCCCTGTCAATCAAGTGCATGAAGGTTCATCATTGGATGCTGGAACTTGATTGACACTTACTCACTGGTCCCTGTGTATACCCTGTAGACCTTGTTTGGGACTCGTGGTGACGTTCCAATTAACTTTTGATCCTTTGATGTTTACTGAACATGGTATATAGAAACTGTACATGTATTACTATGATTTTTTTTTTAGATTGATAATATATGAATTTAATATACCTTTAGTTTTTGAAACGATTATGATCATTAAAAAATAACCTTTAGTACATAAATCTTTTTTCAAATGAAATTTTGATATTAAATTTAATATGCTAAATGGTAAACCAAAAGTGGAATTGTTATTGATAAAGTTCAGAGCAACACTGTGTGAAGTAATAAGATTTAAAAATAATGTTTCTGATCATGGGTAACTTATACGAGGGGTGATCAAAAAGTTCGCAAACTAATTGAATAACTTCCATACAAGAAACAATATTTGGTTTTAATGTTGATTATATTTTAAATTAATCCTCCCCGATTTTAATGCACATCAACCACCGTTCTGCGCATGCGCGAATCACGTGATATTGGCGGTCACGTGACCCCCTCCGTAGCGTTCTGTCACAAAAGTTAAAAGATTTTTCCGAGTTTTATATTTCTTTCCATGTGAGTTAATTTTTATGACAAGAACAGTTAATTTGTCAGAAATGGTCATATCTCGGCAACAGAATGGGTGGATAATAACATCCTTTCCAAAAATAAGCATGGCGACCATTAAAACACAAATCTTCTGTCTCAGGAGAGACCTTTATTCAGGGTGGATAGAGAATGGGTGCATCCTTTTTATCATATCTAATATGTTTAAAATCTAAAGTAAACGATATCTTAGGTATTTAATACTTATATCATTGTTCAAATATTTAACTATTTTTCAAAGTGCTAATTGGAGGTCTTTGATAGCAAATTGCTTGATTAAAAATACATATCTTTTCAAACTTGCTTTCACTGGGCAAGATGACAAGTATCATTTTTAACCATCAGCCTTCCTTCACTAAAACGATTAATCCAATCATTAATTGAATTTATAGGAACTCATTTATCTCAATAAACTGTGTACAAATTATTATATGATATTGTAGAGGGATTTCTAAGATATTATAATAAATTGTACAGTCGTTTGTTGAACGAGTTCGACTGAGACAACCATTTTTCGTCACAAGTGACCTAAATAGTGACGTCATATTCACATTGTGACGTCACAAAGAGAGAAACTTTATTCAGCATATGCTATTTATAGACCTTGTGTATGGCTATGTGTGTACCGAATTTCATTCTAATCTGAATTGTGGTTTTGTAGATATAGAGATAGTTTGCGAACGTTTTGATCACCCCTCGTATTTTCTCTTTTTTATTCAGATAAGAATTTACAAGCAATTTTTTAAGCATGTTTCATGATAGACGGGATCCTAGGGATGAATGAATTAGGTGTAATTTAGTTGTAACAAGAGATGTTTTTTTTAAATAAACACATATACTAACATCTAAAACAATCTTTGTTTTAATATTGGAATTTATAGAATGATATCATAATACTTTTTTTTTAAATGGGAAGGGTTGTTTTAAAACAGTCAAAAATAAATCAATATATTCATAATTGAAAAACCTTTTTATTACCATATAATTTTAAAATGGTCTAAAAAATTCATAACACAGGTAAAGTTTGACATCTGGGTATTTCACTGTGTATTAAATCACTTCCTGTGTATAGGGATTAGGAGAACAGATGACCACAGGTAGTCTGCTAGCCCCCAAGGCATTCATACCTGTACAATATAAGCCCCTCCCTCATCTGGAATTTACCACCCGGTAAAAAATCTCTATGTAATCTTTGATATCATTGTTAGAACACCCCGTCCAAATTCTCTCCATAAAAATCTCTTAAATCTTAAATGTCTGACTGCTGTTTGCTGTTGATGAAGGTGTGTGTACAGGGTTCCTCTTTTCAAAATGTTGACAATTGGATTAAAAAAATAGCCAATGCCCTAGAACTTTTCTAAAGATACGATGATTTCACCTCTTATATTGTTCCATTGTTCTAATCATTTTGAAGAAAAAACTTAACAATAAAGTTTTGTTAGGATACACTATTTTAAATGAAAATTTGGTCTTCTAAGCATCAATTAACAAAAATCACATCCAAATGAGTCATATTTTTACAAAAGCTTGTGCTGAGGTATACTAAAATTTATTGATTAATTCCGTGGAATTAAGCCATCAGTAATGAAATAAATCTTTACAATCTGACAGTTTTTCTTTGATAAATCAAGCATTTAAACAATAGATAAGTCGTTTAATCTCTTATGCCATATTTCCTCTGGAATTTCATCTTATCGAACTATTTTTAACATAAATGTAGTTTTGCAAAAACTAAAACTAACTGACACTCATAAGGCAATCATAAGGAGTACATTTCAATCTTAAATTGAAAGATACACAATTAACAAAATTGTGCAATATTTTCAGATAAAACGAAAACACTATATACACCTTTTATACTCCAACTTAGTGCATGACGGCATTGTTAGAAACTACAGTACACTGGGTATATCCCGAACACAAGTGTGGACAGCACACAAAAACAGCACAGGTTATTCACCAGCATTAATGTTGTACACAGTGACGCCATTCAAATAACATTCTTTTTTAATTTTTAATCTTGAATCGTGAGGTACTTATAAGAACACGAAAACACCTTGGGTTCAAATTTCTGATTTGTAAATCATAATTAAAGTGTCAATCTATCGAAATCGATAGTAGTATATATTTATATTATAAGCTTTAAAAAATGAAGCAAAACATTCAAAACTTGCATCTCAATAAACATTTTTCCTCATTCATGTATGAAACGTGTATGTTTAGATAAAAATGAAAGAATAACACTGAATCCCATCAGATTTGTACATGTATAATTGCCTGAATATCTTACGTGAATACCGTCTCCTTAAATAAACACCGAGAGATTTAGAAAATAAAGCTTCATTTCATTCTACACGCACTCCTATATGTAAACAAAAATCCTACGGCAGTTTGTTTATCTGACAACCTATTTGTCTTTCTATGCAAAATGGGGAAAACATTTATTAAGTGAATATTTTTTCATACATGCTTCTAAAACAAGTTGTCAGTTTTATAGTTTTATTTTACGCTGCTTTTGCGTTACAAGTTTCATTGAAACATTTGTGGATTATGCAATTTTCTATATTTTTCGTAGATTTATTGGTAAAAGCTGTAAATACGTGTTGTTATATCCATATAAAGATGGGAATATATGGAAAATCAATGTAAACCCAGGATAATTAAGATAATGTGTTAACAACATGCATGATAATGTTTCTAATTTCATTTCCTTTCATTAATGGGTCCTGTATTTCTCAGACGACGGAATCAAGACAAGGACCTTAACTCCGTAAATGAAGACCTGAGGGACCTCGAGCTTCTGTCTCTAAAATCCACCAGTCTCATGACAGAAAGTTTCTGAAAATATTTCTTGATGGCAAGTCTAAATCTTTTACCAGTGAGCAGATAAAGGTAAAAGTTACAAGCGTAATGTACGAGTCCCAGATCGTATATCACTTCCTGGGTCAAAACGAAATTTAAATAACGTTGCCATGTGATGTCATTAGATATATTGTCGATGGTATTTGCATCCCCCACAGGAAATTTATCATTTAACGAGTACACGATGCTGACTGGTATGGTGGTAAAAATTAAAACAAATGAGACGACTAACAACATCTTGGTTGTGGCCGTTCTCTGTTTGGGGGGCATGGGTCCGTACAGCTCCTGGGCCCTTCTGGACGAGTTCCTCATGGTGACAACCAAAAGTATATTGAAGAATAAAATCAAACCCGGGACGAACATGAACATTAAACATTCAGTGATCCATGTCCACTTCTCAGAGAGATAAGCAAGTTCCAGTTTATTCACACATTTCTCCGATTGGTGATCATAATCCCAAAAATAGATTTGGATCCCAGCAACCCCAAGCGAAATGACAACCAATGTAAGAATGACACAGACCGCTCTCTTTATGTTACAGTAGATCCTCCTTTTAAAGGGAAATCGTATAGATATGAAGCGCTCTACTGTAAACGCCAAGGTAAGCAAAGGCGATAAATATTGCACAGACAGGTACAAACACGGAAAGAGCTGACAAATAGTCGGAAAATCTAGGATTTTCACTTTCCAATAAATTGTCAGATCGTACATTAAGGACATTATTAGAAAAATCACATCCGAGACGGCCAGTGCGGCAAGGTAACAGCCCGAGGAGTGCAGCATGGGCTTCTGCAGCCACAGAAGACATGCCAGGATGTTTCCAGGAAATCCAAAGATGTATAAAATTGTTTTAAGGACCTTGGGAATAAGAAACTTTTCCGGGATATATTTTTCGTATACAAGATTGATATCAAATTTAGCGTGTAATATTTCTTCCGTGCTCAAAGGAATCTCGATGGAAAAGTTTGTGGAATTCATCTGCAAATTAAAAGAAAAGTACATATAATTGTCACAAAATATGATGATAGTATTAAAACGAAATATTTTCATCATAAAAATGATTTTAAAAATATCTATACACAATCGGAACAAAAAAAAAAAAAGCAAATACAGAAGAAAAAAGAGGAACTTTATGGGAGATTAACACTAAGATCTAACGTTATTACTTTTAGAGAACATTAAACTACAGTATTTACAGATCTATTAGAAAATCTTTGAACGGCAATTATATGTTAATTTAGCTTTCAAGGTACCCTGAAAATATAATTCTTTAATTTCCTTGCTTGTTTGATAAACGTTTAATTATCTGATTTATTTACTTTAAATTTACATGTTATCTATATTAACTTTTTTTTATTTCTAGGAAGTAAATAATGGTCGAAGGCATGATGAATTCGGTTATCAGATATATTTACAAAATTTGAATGGCTAAGTGGTAGAATTTTCAAACAATCTTTTGTATTTTTATTCATATACATTTCAACCCTAAAGGTAATATATCAAAGGATCAGTCGATATTTCCAGTTTGAATGCAGATAGAAGAGAAGTGTATTTTTGTCTTCGGATTTTTCTCTAGCTATATGATGTATTCATGAATTTCAAATCTTTTTTTCTCTTTTATCTTATAATTGTCAAAATTAAAGGTTATGAAGACTTTTGAAAATTATTTCTTATGGACTTTTTCCTGAAATATTCATATTTTCTCTTCTACAGGAGATATTTTCTGTTCATTATAGAAAGCACACATCTCCGAGAGAAGAGGGAAGCATAAAGGATGTATGCAGGGGCCATTGATTAAATCATCTCCTTCAGTGATTAGCTCGGCCAGCCATTGTAAATCCTACCTGATTACGATAATTGGAGGCAGGGACAAATTCTATCATTTTGTAACATTGTAATTATGGGGGAAAATGCACATATCTCAAAAAAATCATTGTAATATCGATAATCTCCTTTTCTACTTAAAAAATATATTTTTTGCAACAATCGATTCAAATTTCAGGATATATCAAAGCACTGAATAGAATGCGAGGCATATTAGTTGTGATGCAGAAGTACCAACTTCATGGAGGCTTACCAGACAGCAAATACAGAATTAGCATGAAAATTCCTATACTGTTGGTCATAGTCTGAGGCACAGAATATTCATAATCCATCAACAGTGGGTTCAACTAAGGAAGATCTAGCGAAGGTTTAGAGAGGACATGTACAGAGTCAGGATTTTCATTGTCATTCAACCACAAAGTTACACGTAATCAACTTGAAATGAATGGGACTGCTTCTTTCTTTGCTATCAACTGTTTAAAATTATTACCATTAATTGTTTTACTATAAATCTATTTGTACAATATAATGATTTTGTACAGAACAATAAATCACTATATATTTTGTCTTTTCTGGTCAATGTATTAAAACTATGAAATGACACTGGTTTTTTTTATTATTGGTTATTTTTCTCTCCATGGAAATTCGCAAGGATTGTCGTTAAAAAAATCGTTTTCCACCATGGAAGCATTTTCTCAAGTTTGTACTGGGCTGGAGGAGTAGAGGTCAAAGACGTCAGTAGCCGTCAAGAAGACAAACCGACGGGGAACTCCTAATCAGAAAAGTTCATTAGCATTGAACACAACTACTTTATCTTTTCTTCTCAGTATAAACTTAATTTAAACACACACACACACACACACACACACACACACACACCCTAACAAGCAAACAACCCCCTAAAAACACTGAGCATAGTTAAACTGTTGACCAGTTGTCGATGGCTTGACAGATTACAATATTGATATAAATTTACATCCACTGAAAGAAATAAAACCCTTTGCGTTAATCAGTGCATGAACTACAATAGGCATGTCAACTGTACAGATTTCTTGATCAATGGCTGTTCCATCAATGAAACGTACAAAGACGTTCGCTTCATTAATACAATAATTAATCATTTTAATCCTACTTCAAATGATTATTTAAACAGATACAAACATAAACAATAAAATGTCTTTCTTTGGTTGTTAGTACGGTAATGAATGTTGCAGCTAATGCAGAAAAAAAATTACATAACCCGCGTAAGGTTATGTATTTTTTCTGCAATAGCTGCGACATTCAATCCTACGGAAGCCCATTTAGGACCTATCAAAAATATTTTTGAATTCGTTATAACGATTTTTAGAATTCGTTATAACGAATTTAATTTGTTAAAACAGATTTTTAGAATTCGTTATAACGAATTTAATTTGTTAAAACAGATTTATTGAATTCGTTATAACTTATTTAATTTGTTATAACAGATTTATTGAATTCGTACGGAAGCCCATTTAGGACCTATCAAAAATATTTTTGAATTCGTTATAACGATTTTTAGAATTCGTTATAACGAATTTCATTTGTTATAACAAATTTTTATAATTCGTTATAACGAATTTAATTTGTTTTAACAGCCTTTTAGAATTCGTTATAACGAATTTAATTTGTTATTACAGCCTTTTAAAATACGTTATAACGAATTAAATTTGTTATTACAGATTCATTGAATTCGTTATAACGAATTTAATTTGTTATTACAGATTTATTGAATTCGTTATAACGAATTTAATCTGTTATTACAGATTTGTTGAATTCGTTATAACCAATTCAACGAATTTGGTTATTACGAATTCAACAAATCTGTAATAACAATTAAATTCAACGAATTCAATAAATCTGTAATAACAAATTAAATTCGTTATAACGAATTCAACAAATCTGTAATAACAGATTAAATTCGTAATAACGAATTCAATGAATCTGTTATAACAAATTAAATTCGTTATTACGAATTTAATAAATCTGTTAAAATAAATTAAATTCGTTATAACGAATTTAATAAATCTGTTATAACAAATTTAATTCGTTATAACGAATTCTAAAAAATCGTTATAACGAATTCAAAAATATTTTTTGATAGGTCCTAAATGGGCTTCCGTAAATTCGTTATAATGAATAATTTGTTATAACAGATTCATTGAATTCGTAATAACATATTTAATTTGTTATAACAGATTAATTGAATTCGTTATAATGAATTTAAATTGTTATAACAGATTCATTGAATTCGTTATAACGAATTTAATTTGTTATTATAGATTTATTGAATTCGTTATAACGAATTTAATCTGTTATTACAGATTTGTTCAATTCGTTATAACCAAATTCTTGAATTAGTTATAACGAATTCAACAAATCTGTAATAACAAATTAAATTCGTTATAACGAATTCAATGAATCTGTTGTAACAAATTAAATTCATTATAACGAATTCAATGAATCTGTTATAACAAATTAAATTCGTTATAACGAATTCAATAAATCTGTTTTAACAAAGTAAATTCGTTAAAACGAATTCTAAAAATCTGTTATAACAAATTAAATTTGTTATAACGAATTCTAAAAATCGTTATAACGAATTCAAAAATATTTTTGATAGGTCCTAAATGGGCTTCCGTACAATCCCGTACTAACAACCAAAGATTAAATGACTGAAATGCCTTTAGTTTTTGACCTACCGAATTAATTAAATCAAGTGAGATTCTATTTGTTCATTTAGTTATTGAACAGAGGGGAAATATCAGCTAGCAAAATGAAGAAAACAGAAAAAAAAAATCATTTCACATTTTTGTTTGCTGTTGAATTTTTTTTTCATTTAAGGTTTTTCATTTGAACCTTTAATTAATTGAGTCTACCTGATATGATTTTTTAATATCAAGTGAGGGACCACTTCGACACATATTGTACCCATTTCTTCATTCTGAATCTTTATGGAAGTTTTCTAATATTGTAATTTTGAAATTTCTTTGATATATAACATTTGTGGAAAAACTCTAACAAATACGAGCAAAATACAATGCCTGATGGCCTCTGTTTAACAATGAATTCAGCTCTATGTTCTGATATGATCTTATGAACTGATTTTAGAATTTGGAGCTAGGGCAATAATCTTTGGAAAACTTTCATTGCTAAATAATTCACAAATAAAAACAAACAATTAATCCAATAACACAAATTTTTCAATCTATGAGTATTGTGACATTCGCTGTATCAAAAAATTTTTTACAAGTAAGTTCTTCCGACATTTCTGTAAATTCATCCACGATTCACAACCAAATTGTATGATCTTATTCCATTGTGGAAGTATCGAGAGAGCTCTAGACGGAGTCCGAATCGTGGCTTGCGATGACGCAAAAGTGCCATTCTAAAACTGTGCTCATTATTTTAGCTTACCAAACGTTTGAATATTTTGTTTATTTTGATACGCTATGAATTCATCTTTGTCCATGTGATTCAATAAATAAAGATGATGTGAGGACTATCTTCTGTATAGAGAAATAAATGAACATTACTAGTATTCGTAAGGTTGCATGTGAAGTTGATATAAAACAGAGAACCACTGTGCAAAACAAGATGTGCTATAACTGCACAATATCGGAAAAAGTGATTGACACAGACAATGAATGATTAAATGATACATTTTCGTGTATTAATGAGTTATGTAATTATCCGAGAAGAAAAAAAAAGGTTGAGTGATTGAAATCCAATTTTTTTCTAATCACAGCTTCTCTGCATCACGTCTGGTTAGCTATTTGATAATGCTTAGTATCTACAGTTATTTGGCCAGTTCCGAATAAGAAACCGATTCGACGGTGCTACAAATATATTAGGAATTATTTCAAAATCTAAGTGTTTTGTCAAGGTAGTTCGATGACTTATGGAATTAAATATTGTTTCATAAAAGGTCAGCCTTCCCTCAAAAAAAAATTATTTCGCAAGTTACCATAGGTGTCCATTTTACCAGTTACGAATAAGCCGACGGGTTCCGGATACCCTAGAAATTCTTATTCAATTCAACCCTAAATTTAAAAATATACGTCCCAGACGTTATCCATTGGCATGCCTAAGAAAAGTTAAATTAATTGCTTACCAATAAATTATTTGTATTTCCA